AAATGTGCACAATCAAGGCGATGTCTTTGTTATTGTTATCTGGTGATGTCACTGTTCTGATGTTGCTGTTGTAACGATAGAAATAACACGACAGCTAGCTAGTGCTGTTTATATTATTATACTGGATTTACTGTTAACGCTGTCAATATGAATAAAGGGCGCTTTAAATAACAGCTTGTTACATTACCACATCATTTAGAGTTGTACAAATCAGTTGGCATCATCCATTTGGACTAGGAAAGTTTACTGTTAATGTTTAAATGTATAAAACATATGTCAACACCGATATTACATATGTCATTACATATTAGGTATACCGATACGTGTGCTGGTGATTCGTACATGTGATGCTGAATTTTGTGAGATTACACGATTCCCCGGTTGTCACCAGACATCTGGCAATACCAATACAACCTCTCAGCAAATCAAATTCTGAAGATCAATACGATATGAACCAACAGAGCTGACACAGTTTATGTAACATGTAACTTGTGTTTGTAACGACAGCACTTTTGACAAATATTGATAATGAGGTGTATATCTATATGTATGCCTGGTAGGACTGGCCTGTGGTAGCTGTTACTTGTGGGGTTTTGAAGATTTAAGAAAGGGAGGGTCATAAATATGGATACATATATTGTCTTGGTCTTTCGTTCAAACAGATTCTTATCTCCTTGGCATCAAACATTGTATATAGAATCCTGTCATTCTTCAATTTTGAAAAACTTGCTCCGATGCAAAATGAATAAAGCCATTTAGCCGTAGAGATTATTTGATTAGTTTGGAAAATAAAGTTGAAATCTTGCAAATCATATTTTGAATTATTAAAATTTTGAGGTTTATCACAAGAGTTTGCACTACTTGAAATGCAGTTTTCATTACAACCCAAAGCTTATAAGTTGCTCAGTCTTCCATACATCTGGCAGAATGACTTTTTGTGAGCTCAGATGTTATCAAAAGCAACACACTAAGGCAGACGGGGATTTTTCCTCCGCAGCATGCTACATTTCATTTCTATCTGAGAGTGTTCCGCCTGTAAACCTCGGTAAGAGCCAGATCGTGCTATGAGAGAGTGTATAATAGACCATCCTGCTATCGCAATCTGTGTGTTGTGTCTATATAAACTTATGATAGTGTGGGTATGGTGTCGCATGCGCGGTGCCAAGGAATTATTGGGGTCTGTTAAAATTTAACCTCAGCAATTATACACAGGGAATCGTTTCATTGAAAGCCGAATCATGTGTCTTTGCTGTGTTACCTGTTGTAGGGCTTAGTTGTGTAGCTTGTGATAGAGTCAGTACAGTAACTTTACTATCCTAGTTTTTACATTGCACACAGATGTAGTAGTTATTGAAATTCTAACAAATATGACAGGGGATGTGAACAAGTTTCAAGAGTATTGTATTGACATTTTATGATTATGTAAAGTTTGTAGGGTCGGATCAGAGGACAGCTGCCAGTTGTTGTTATAAGCAGTAATTGTTTACCTGTGTAGATTATAAGATGTTCTGTTTGTTTTTGTAGTAAGCTTACATAAGTAAACTGTATATATATCCACACACCGTTTCATTTTGTTGAGCTCCTGTATTTTCACAGAAAGGATACTTCATCAGTTAATAGGAAACCTGTCCTACTAGATGGACGGAGATGAAGGATATCTGTCACTCTATATTAACGTCAGGTCTTGATGTGACAGAATATTATCGTCAGGTTTTGGTGTGACAAAATATTAATGTCAGGTTTAATTTTGGTGTGACAAAATATTAACGTCAGGTCTTGGTGTGACAGAATGATAATGTCAGGTCTTGGTGTTACAGAATATTAATGTCAGATCTTGGTGTGACAGAATATTTACGTCAGGTCTTGGTGTGACAGAATATTAACGTCAGATCTTGGTGTGACAGAATATTAACGTCAGGTCTTGGTGTGACAGAATATTAACGTCAGATCTTGGTGTGACAGAATATTAATGTCAGGTCTTGGTGTGACAGAATATTTACGTCAGGTCTTGGTGTGACAGAATATTAACATCAGATCTTGGTGTGAAAAAATATTAACGTCAGGTCTTGGTGTGACAGAATGATAATGTCAGGTCTTGGTGTGACAGAATATTAATGTCAGATCTTGGTGTGACAGAATATTTACGTCAGGTCTTGGTGTGACAGAATATTAACATCAGATCTTGGTGTGACAGAATATTAACGTCGGGTCTTGGTGTGACAGAATATTAATGTCAGGTCTTGGTGTGACAGAATATTAATGTCAGATCTTGGTGTGACAGAATATTAAAGTCAGATCTTGGTGTGACAGAATATTAATGTCAGGTCTTGTTGTGACAGAATATTAACGTCAGGTCTTGGTGTGACAGAATATTAACGTCAGGTCTTGGTGTGACAGAATAATAACGTCAGGTCTTGGTGTGGTAGAATATTAATGTCGGATGTTGGTGTGACAGTGTATTCAAGTCGGGTCTTGGTGTGACGGTATATTCAAGTCAGGTTTTGGTGTGATGGTATATCAATGTCAGATTTTGATGTGATGATATATAGGTTAACCAGGTCTTTGGTGTGGGCCTTGTAGATAAGCTACATCACATCCAGGAATTCCAAGTTGAGTCGTGAATTTAGTGTTAAAACCCACGAGCAAACTTTGTCATGATGATTAATAACAGTTTCACATAGCTTGACAGTTAATCAATAATAAAATTGTTTGATACACAGATGGAGAATTCATTCTTGTTATATATTTGCACAGTTCTATGACATAAAAGATATTTTTGACATGTCATTTAAACCCTTTGTATTGACATTGTTATGCTGACGTAATGATGTCATCCTTGATAATGTTACGTCAAGAATTTAATAAAGAGGCTATATACAAACGTTAAAACAATACTTGTATCATTTCTAATGAATAATGATTAATTCACATGTGATGCTTCAAGTCAGGCATGTCCATCTTTTCCATTACATAACATGAGTCATTTAGTGGTCAAAGGTCAAATGTCCAGTGTCCTAGTGTGACTGGACACAATGCCTGACAAGTGACTGTCTATAGAGTGTGGACAATGTCCAGTGTGATAGTGTGACTGGACACAATGCCTGACCAGTGACTGTCTAGAGATTCCCAGCTACATTAATCAGTCGTTAATCAGCTCTATTAGTGGAGTAATTAAATGTGAAACAGAATATTTCATAAAAACTGAAATTTGAATTAAAGGTGTGCATTATTTCTAATATCTTATTCTCCTGTACAGAAAAAAAAAATCATGGTTATAGATTCATAAAACCTGTGTAAACAATGAGTGTGACCATTGACCAAGGGGAACTTCCATGTTAAACTTTATTGTTTATTTGGATAATTTTAACATGTACTACTCTAAATGGAGTTCCTCAGGCAGAAAATAGGTCATTTAGCAGCAAGGCTATAGTTATTTTCTCTGAACCAAACTTAGATGATTTTTATCTCACTTGCCCAACGGGCAAGTGAGCTTATGCCATGGTGCGGCGTCCGGCGTCAACTTTTTACTTTTAACAATTTCTTTTCAGTAACCAAGAGGCCTAGGGTGATGATATTTGGCCAGTAACATGCTGGGATGAAGGGCTACCAAGTTGGTTCAAGCAAATGACCTTCTCCCATTTTCAAGGTCACAGGGGTCAAATGTGTTTAAAACCTTTAAAACAGCTTCTTCTAAATAACCAAGAGGCCTATGGTGATGTTATTTGGCCAGTAACATGCTGGGACAAAGGGGTACCAAGTTTGTTCAAACAAATGACCTTCACCCATTTTGAAGGTCACAGGGGTCAAATAAGTTTAAAACCTCTAAACAACTTCTTCTGAAAAACCAAACGGCTTTGGATGATGATATTTGGCCAGTAGTATGCTGGGATGAAGGACTACCAAGTTTGTTCAAACGAATGACCTTGACATATATAAAAAGGTCACAGGGGTCAAATATGTTTATAACCTTTAAACGACTTCTTCTCAATAAGCAAATGGCTAAGGGTGATGATATTTAGCCATTAACATGCTGGAATTAAGGACTACCAAGTTTTTACAAATGGATGACCTTCGCCCATATTCAAGGTCACAGTGGTTAATAAATCTTTAAATCTTTAAATGACTTGTTCTGTATAACCAAAAGGTCCAGGGTAATGATATTTTGTCAGAAGCATGCTGGGTTGGACGGCTATAAACTCTGTTCAATCTTATGTCCTTGTTCATCATTCAAGGTCACAGGCGTTGTATGTTTAAATCTTTTATGAGTCAAACACTGGTATTCTGCCTGTAGCTGTATTTTAGTCCACTTTTAAGATTATTTGTGTGAGATTAATACCAGGTGAGCGATTCAGGCCCATCGGGCCTCTTGTTTGTTTGTTAGTTTAATTTTCCAAGTCAGACAAGTTTCACCCTAGGAGGTAATAAATATGCTCTATGCCATGGATTGACCTTCATTTTTAATTTGTCTGACTTGCAAAATTGACTAGTAGATGTTTGTGTTTGCAATTTAAAATGAACAAGATTATCATTTCAGAGAGTATCACAGACAAGCAATAGATATTTAATAACAAGATAATAAACCTCAAAGCCTAAATACTGATTAGATAACCAGACATGTAGTCTAATGACTGGCGTCATTCTGAAGATATTGCTCTGTTCCTGCAGGACAATGCTTATGATATGAATTAATATTTGATATAGTGCACTATCTAGCTAAGATAAGACACTGCAGGGCACTTAATACTTTACAGATATATACAATTCTACACAATATGAGGATTTCACAGCTACCTTATAAGGTGCTGACTACAGGTTCTATATCACCAGGCTATAACTTAAATGTTAGAAAATATTTTGATGCACACTTTTTATCCTAGAAATGTGAATAGAAATGCTTGATAAATAGCAGGAAGTATAAGACATTGTTTACATTGAAGCTAAATTACAAAGACCTGTTTTATGGTGTATGTGTTGATAGCCTGTACCTGGTATGCTTGTAGGGAGTTGGATTCCTGCAGGGGAAGGATCGGTGATGCTGTGCTAGTTAGCAACAACATGAGGTAATCAAGTGTTAATTACTCCATTTCATGTCGACCTTAGCCTCTCTACTTATAGGTAACTCCTGAATATTGGTGGATTTGTAATGTATTACAAAGCATTAAAAAGGTAGCATTATAGCAGGGGTTACATCACAGGGCTTGTGTCATGACCAAAGTCATTCCAGTCTTGAACACCCTGAGTTTCCACCATCATTAGCCAGCATTCTGCCTGCTCATTCCAGTCTTATATATAAAAATCATGCTATTAAGCTAAAATGCTTGACTCAGTTTTCAATTTATGGTGACTTGGGAAGAAAATGAGTATCTGTGACATTAATTTGTATCTAGGCAGACTGGCCTAAGTAGCAGTTGGTCTTGCTATGCAAATCAATACTGAAGTGTGCCACTGTCACAGACAGCAGCAGACCACACTCAATTTGTAAAACCCAGATTTCTTCTCTTTCTTCTCAGATTTCAAGAAAACTTTGCTTGAAGACAGAGTTATTACTACGGCATGCCAATTTTGTTGTTTCCATATTCTCCAGTTACATGTGCATTATCTAGTCATTGTCCTCAGACATTTTGAAGTCATTTAATTTTTGTATTGTGTGTGCTAAATAAAAACTAGAAACAGCAACTCAGAAAAAAATAGCTAAAGGTTTATTAAGAACTCCAGAGACATATACTATGAAAAAGCTATCAGGCCATAGACATATACTATGAAAAAGCTATCAGTCATGGCCCCACACAAACGTGTCTGCTGATGGTGACAAATCAATGTTTTAAAACGAATGGAAACTGTGGAGAAATAGCTATAGGAAGTTAGAGAATAGAAAGTCGACCCCTTGGCTGTGGGCCTCCTAGTACACCTTGGTGACCTAGTAATCAGCTGTCTACATGTGGCTAACTGGGTCACATCTATTAATAGCCATATTTACCTAGACATATTTGTATATATAAATAGAGAGGGAAAGGTACACACCAATACACAGCATGCTGTTACATCAGCCATATAAATATACTGGCTTGGTGTATACCACGATTTATAAATATTATCATTCAAATATTATGGGCATGCTCAATGTTCGTGGATAGTATATATGCGCCTCAGATTTAGATGTACTTAGTGTCATCATTGTGAATCGTGACAATAATCTGGCGTTGTCTTATTACATTTAATGTAATGAAATATACAGTCTATGTGTATTGAGAATCATGTGTTTGAATTTTTTTTCTTTGTTTCGTTCCATATGCATTGGCCCAAAATGTAAATTTATATAATTGTTGACAATCTGCCGCTATAAAGTAGGGGATCAATTATATGTGTATATTATGACATTTGTGTCAACATGTATATCCTCCTCCTCCTCCTCCTCCTCCTCCACTTACAGGTAGCTATTCCACTGCCCTACTGACATTTAGGCTGAGCATGTGACCTTTTTAGGAGACACCACCTCCAAGGGAGTTCAACATGTTACAGTCTGTTCACATGAAAGCATATTTTTCTGACAGAATGCGGTAATGAAAGAGGAATTTTTCCTTTTTCACAAAGGCGTTCCAATTCTCTATGACGTCCAGACAGAGATTGTACTTTTCATTTCACATAGATTTGTAAGAGGTTTTATGTTTCTCGATTCTCTTTGACTGGAGGTTACATTTGTGCTGATGTTATGCCACAATGATAGAAGTTTGCTTTGTGTTTACCCGATGTGGAGTTGAAAGCTAGCTTTCCCCTGTAACACACTACATAGGGTTTGGGTCAAGGTGTAACATACAGAATTGATCATGTTGTTTCAGTGTTTGGTGCATTATTTTACATCTTTTCTATTTCTTTTTTCACATAAAAGAATTCATTACATCAGTTTATGATGAGTCTAGATGATAATTAGCTTTAGATATTGGGATACAGCCTTACAATTGTCTTCTATGTACAGTTCCACTAATTTGTAGGACATTTTCCTTTGAAATAAAATTCTATCTTTAGTTCCATTGATAATGCATGCTGTATTAAAGACGTATTCCTTATTTTATCCTGGATTGCTGAGTTCTTCAATATCATTGCCAAAGGCGGTCAAGGTCATTTAATTTGTTACATACTATTTCATATATTAGTGTATTCGTCTTGAAAGAGGGTATCCAATAACAAAACCACAACAGAACAGTCAGGTTCAATTCTTGTAAAAGTTGCATAATTAAAGAAACATATAAGAATTCTAAAAAAAACCTAACAGACAATAAACTTTAGAAGCGTTGGTTTATTATTTGATTGATTATGAATACCTAGAAGGTTTAAATGGTTATGCTTTGGAATAGAGGTACGGTTGATAATCAGTGATCTGGATGTACTGTGTTAAGACTGTGAAGTGTGTGGTGGGGCCGGTGAAGAGTTCATCACCCCTTTGTCAGGCCGGGTATATATAGACATATTGTTGCATGTTAAGGGTATATTAACTATTATCATACTAGCTACTCATGTAATATCCTTCCGGTTGGTTACAGCACGGAAAAATCCTAGGAAAAATCCCAGTCATGCATGAGGCTACACACAGCTTGATGTTAAAAAGTATGGTAACCATCCAAGAATTTCATTTGTATGGATGTGCTAAGATTCAAGGTACAGTTTATATCTGGAAGGAACATAAGTCATAAACCTGAATAAAAGTAAGCAAGGGAGTAGATCACAGATTAGAGGCGTGAAACCATTGCGTAATATGGAGGAGGTTTCTGTGAAGCTGGAAGGAGAATTAACTACTTGTCCTATAGTGCTTTTCCATCTTTGTTGATGATGTTGTTAACTGATACAAAATTGATAAAAAAATTATCAAGTATAGGGATGAGGTAGATTTAGGGACATTTACCGTAGGTAGTTTTACTGTGGCAGTAATAGAGATCTTTGTTAATAATGCATGGATGACCATCATCCATGCATGCTACACTGATCTACTGAGATATAGGCTGACAAAGTGCACTGGTCACCACTTATAGGTCAAACGACCTGCTGACTTACCTTTATTGGCGTGTGTTATATTTGAGGACCATTCATCCAGAAGTCTGATGACTAGATTATAAATTTTTAATTACAACCTCATTACGTCGGCTTCAATGATTTAAATGGTGTAGTGTGCCGATAATGAAACTGACTGTTGTTTGTTTTAAGGAATGAAATTGATATGGTATACAGAGTACATACAAATACATGGAAACGGTCACATTACGTAAAATGTATTTAGAATAACATAAACTTGTGAAGTTAATATAATGACAGAAGATTCCTGTTTCGACTTCAGTTATGGTAGACGTAGCTATAGGCGGTAAGCCATTAGAGGCAGTCATTGCTACTTTAGTTCAGAAGTCTGTTTGAAGCTAAGTTATTTACAGTATAAACAACTTAGTTTTTAATCTAGGGAAATAAGATCGTTGTTGTTGCGTGGGGACTATATTTGTAGAAGGTTCAGGGCTATCTGGTGTAATACCACACTGTGGAGTCTCCACTAAAGTTGTGGTATTTACTGATACAGGTGACTTGTTCTTTACTCTCTAGATACCAACACATTCATTGTACATGTAGTCTTCTAGACAAGTTATGAAATTTTGAAGAATAAGAAATGTATGGTAGCTTTCATAAAATATATGTGATTCAGAATTAAGGAAAACTTTTAGTCAGTGTGAAATTTCTTTCCAGATCCAATTGATTTTTGAAAACCCACTGTGAAATGATTGGGTACCAGGGAGTTGTTAACAGCCCTTCCTTCCCTAAGTTGCCTCCCTATCATTATAGGAACTTGTTAGGCAGTGATCACAATGGTATATTATTTGGGTGTATGATTTGGAAAATTATAGCTATTTATCAGGTTGCATCAACTTCATTTGTCCTGTTGTGGATACTGCTGCCGTAACAATGTTTTAGTTAGGTGAGACACTGCCAGGGACACCTGAGAAACTCGAGTTAAATGAAGCCTAAGGCCAATTGTTCTGGTGTAATCAATATGCTTGAGACTTGATTGAGTGTCTGTGACCATAGCTGTTTCTATAGATTGATAATTACAGTCAGATGCATGCAGGTAGTGGAGAGTCTTGTATCACCTACCGTCTTACAGTACAGCAAGTCAAAGTGTGTATTTGTGACCAGCTTTGTCGTGTGTATTAACTATTACCTACATTGACATAAGTACTCGGTTGCTGTACATGGTAGCCATAAACATCAATAAGATAAGTGTTCGTTAAACTGTCCATTTTCATTGGACAACTTAAGTGGTTGTATACTGCTCTTCCTTCCTACATCATGTTTTTCTCTGTCATAATTACTACAATAAAGAAGCAGTTTAGCTTTGACATAGAATAAAATTATCAGTGCTTTGAACATTCTGGTGAATTGTTTGTTTTTGTCCTATGAAGCTGATAAGGAACTTGTGTTTCAGAGTGGCATACATCTGGTGTTGAATATGTCTCTTTATAAGGATGTAGTGGCATACATCTGGTGTTGAATATGTCTCTTTGTAAGGATGTAGTGGCATACATCTGGTATTGAATATGTCTCTATCAAAGAATTGAGGGGCATACATCTAATGTTGAATATGTCTCCATCAAAGAATGGAGTGGTTTATGTCTGATGTTGAATATGTATCCATCAAAGAAGGGAGTGGTTTATGTCTGATGTTGAATATGTCTCCATCAAAGAATGGAGTGGTTTATGACTGATGTTGAATATGTCTCTTTGTAAGGATGTAGTGGCATACATCTGGTGTTGAATATGTCTCCCTCAAAGAATGGAGTGGATTTTGTCTGATGTTGAATACGTCTCCATCAAAGAATAGAGTGGTTTATGTCTGATCTTGAATATGTCTCCATCAGAGAATGGAGTGGTTTATGTGTGATGTTGAATATGTATCCATCAAAGAATGGGGTGGTTTATGTCTGACGTTGAATATGTCTCCATCAAAGACTGGAGTGGTTTATGTGTGATGTTGAATATGTCCCCATCAAAGAATGGAGGGGTTTATGTCTGATGGTGAATATGTCTC